GTTTCTCCCAAGGTTTTTTTCTCCATTCTGTCACCTGATGGAGTTTTGGTTCCTTGCCACTGTTGCCTTGGCTTTTGGCTTGCTGAGTTGGGGACATTTACAGTAATATTCAATAATATTATTGATCTGCCTTACTTAAGGTGGACGTTGACGCAATTTTCTTTTAGAAACAAACTTTGTTATATTGTTTTCATGTTATCACTGTGAAGCGCTTTGATACAATCTGTATTGTAAAAAGCGCTATATAAATAAAGGTGACTTGACTTGACTTGACTTGACATCCCAGCTGAACACCTCCAGGGGAGGATAAGGAATGCCAAATAATTCTTCCCAAGAAGCCTTACCAGAGAAGTGTGATGTGGATGAGAACATGTGGCCAAATGGAGAAGACCGGGATGATTAGAAGATGGCTTTTTCTGTTTGTATATTTTGTATTTTCACCTACAGTAATGCAGTAAATGGCAAGTGTTGCATATTTTTGTTATCTTGCAGAAATGTCCTGTTGCAAATAAAGCCTTTACTGCACCAATTCTGTCTCTGTCTTCTTTTTTTCATAAACCGTACATTCTATTCTGCTATTCTGAGAAGGGTCATTCATTTTGTGTATTGAATTTCTACAACATAGGAAACAAAATGCACACATTTGCTAAACCCAAACAAAACAAAACTGTAGAGAGGCTTCAAAATAAACTGCAGTGCAAAACAATCTACTGTATAAACAATACAATATACTGTCTATTGTATAAGGGCAGACCTGACATACTTTATATAAAATAATGCAGTTTCTGTAATTCCATCTCATGTTAGTGTTTTTTATGACATTGTGCTATGATTGACTAAATGTCCCTGTTGGAAGAGAACATGTGTTCGTGTTTTGGTAGACATAGTGTATTGTGTTAGTGTATTATTGTTTTTTGAAAATTAGTGTTGGAGTGTAGTTTACAGTGTGTGATTTTGAGCATGAAATTAACCGTTTTGCCAATTGTGTGTTGTAGGTGTGTTGGTGCGTTAAGAGTTTAGAAAATGTGTTAAAAGTATTGTAAAAATTGTCATAGGGATTGTAAAAAACTGCAATATCTGTGGGACTTACAGTTTTTTTTTTTTTTACAGTTGCTAGGACACATTTCTCAATACTTAGGTCACTTTTTCAAAACTCTTCACACAGTTCTCCTAACCAACTTTCAGCTCGGCACAGCAGTTCATTTCACATTCAAAATGCACTAAAACCAGAATATCACTTTCAACATTACAAAATAAAAAATCACATGGGGGGCTTGAGGCACCAAACTTCCATTACTACTTCTTGGCAAATCAATTACAATACCTAGTTAAATGGATCAATTTAGATAAGCATAAACACCCGTGGCTGGAACTGGAACAGAGTCAATGCACAGATATCCCAGTTGCAGATCTCCCCTTTCTCTCACAATCAATCAAGAAATCCAACATCTGCCAACCCATAACCATCTATTCGACTCTGACAGCCTGGTGGAAAACAAATCTAATCACAAAATCATCACAAGAATTAAATAAGCTAACCCCACTCTGGCACAACCCAGAATTTCTGATACAGAATAAACCTCTTTATTTCCCCACATGGGCACAAAAAGGAATCACACAGCTTCACCACTTATTTGAGAACCACTATTTTATGTCATTTAACACACTCATACAGAAATATGGGGTTGGGAGGGAACAATTTCTTAAATATCAACAACTTAGACTCCTAATTAAAAATAAAACCACACTTACAAACAATACATTACAACCTTCTCAGCTCATAGAAGAACTTTTGAAAATTAATAACTTAAAAAAATAATAAGAATAAGAATAATTTGCTCAAGATGTGTTCTCTGTTGTTGTCTGTCTGTCACTTGTCCTATGTTACGTGTTACACCTTGAACATGGTGCTATAACCCCCCCCCTTCACTTATGTACCCAGGCTCACACTGAACGGGGTGAATAGTTATGCTATTCACAGTTACTGTGATAGTAATAGCAATAGTAATAGTTACTTGAATAGTTACTGTATACACATTTATTGTCTGTATTGTAATATATTGTGTATATATGCTCTTTTTCTGTTTTATTAAAAATAAAGTTGTCCTCCAAAGAGGGGGGGTGGTGGCGAAAAAAAAAAAATGCACTAAAACTACAGAATCACTTCATACATGTCTCAAATCAACACATTCTTCCAGAACACTAGCAAAGGTTGACAGCCAACAATAACACTTTGTTACCCACAAAACAATGACCTAAAAAACACTAACAACAGGAAACTTTATACAATGTTTTCCTCTGTAAATGCCTTCTTTCTTCTACCTATCTACTGTTTAGAAATCACTGCAATATATGTTACTAGAATGAATTAGACATGATGCAGTAGCCTATGCTTCAATACTTTATATATTTTATGTTTTTGGAGTAATTCCAAAGTACAAAAATTTGTATACACACCATCCACTGATTCAGATACAATAGGAATCAGCTGTGGTTGGCCCAAATGTCCAATTGTTTTTATACCATTTAATTTTTAGATTTGAAATATATTTCATTACAATATTACTGTAGAAATGTGGCAAAATGCTGTCTTATTCAGTTTTGTATTATGTTATTGTTTTGAACTTAAAGTTTAACAGTTTTGAAAACAGTATGTAAGCATGTGCAAATTGACCTGTAGGTACACAGAGTTTTGGCGGTTGTTGTGTCGAAGTGAGAAAAGAATTAATGTCATTTGAAAGATGTAGTCATTGAATGCATTTTGTGCCAAAGCAATGATAAAGGATCCACAGTTTAGCCCACATATACTTCTGTTGTGCTCACTGTGTGAAGAGTTTTGAAAAAGTGACCTAAGTATTAAGAAATGTGTCCTAGCGACTGTAAAAAACTGTAATATCTGACTGGATTTACTGGCTATCCGTGTTTTCATTGTTATACGCTAGGGGGCGCTATTTACACATCTTCTGAAAGAGTCCCGAATCTCCTGATCAAAACACAGGAGAAGAAAAAGCACAAACAAGTGATAGGCCCTGTCCCAAATGACACCCTAAACACTCGAGGTCTTCTTCTGAGACCGCACATTCGTGACGTAACGCCACTTTGACTGTCGGGAAGAAGTCTGCTAGTCGGCAAAAGTGCGCATCGAGGGGATAAATCGACCGCAAAGGGGGCGTTCGCGAGCACCCTTCTGAGACCTACAGTTTTTTACAGTCACTTTGCTACTATTTTCAGAACCTTGATGTCATTTTTCACAACTCTAGACACAAAACTCACAACCAATGATCAAAATGCACATTTTTTAAAACTCTAACCCTTTTCTCAATTGCTTGGATACAATACACATAAAACTTAGATCATTTGTTCATTCAACAAAAATCACCTGTTCAATATGATACAACTTAACATCAAAGTTCTACTATTTCAAAATGCAATTCACACATTACATTTCAAATGAGTGTCTATTCATTTCCTTACAATGATCTAACTATCAATTGATACAACTGCTCAAAATGATAAGTACCTTTTGCATTACTCTTAATGCATAGTTGTATGGAAACAAACAAACAACCTTCCATGTTTACAGTAAATCATGAACGTTTCAAGATAATGAGATTCATTATCACCAATTACCGTGGAGCATGAACCAATTAGACTACAATATCCATGGATGTAGCCTAATGTTTTATCATACTGTAATGCTTACAGTAATCAGACACTGTGTCTATGGTCCTAAAATACTGTACCACCTTTTCAGACTATTTACAGTATTGACAGTACTACACTGTATAGATGCAGGCCCTTGTAATTGCTTGTCCAATTCTGCCAACTCGTTACTGATGATTGAGTGCACATTGTGGAATGAGTATATAAAGAGTTGATTGGGATCCAATTGCAAGAGCATAGTGATACGTAACATGGAGCCAGCGGGTGATCCAGGTCACAATGGAGGTCAAGCAGTGGTGGGAGGAAGACGAGGAAGACGTGTTGGTCAAAGGAATGGCAGGGGACAGGCACCACTTTTGAGAGGTGGTCGTGGGCCTTGTTTGAGAGGTGTGGGGGAACGTGGTAGAGGACAGGCACCACTTTTGAGAGGTGGTCGTGGGCCTCGTTTGAGAGGTGTGGGGGAACGTGGTAGAGGACAGGCACCACTTTTGAGAGGTGGTCGTGGGCCTCGTTTGAGAGGTGTGGGGGAACGTGGTAGAGGACAGGCACCACTTTTGAGAGGTGGTTGTGGGCCTCGTTTGAGAGGTGTGGGGAACGTGGTAGAGGACAGGCACCACTTTAGAGAGGTGGTCGTGGGCCTCGTTTGAGAGGTGTGGGGAACGTGGTAGAGGACAGGCACCACTTTTGAGAGGTGGTCGTGGGCCTCGTTTGAGAGGTGTGGGGGAACGTGGTAGAGGACAAGGCCACGGACCAAGACAGCGGCAGCAACAGCATAGAGTGTCCAATGAAATTCGGGCAATAGTTGTAGACCATGTCATAAATCATGGCATGACAATGGCTGGGGCGGCTACAATGATACAACCAAACCTCAGAAGGTCAACCGTGGCCTCAATAATCAGAACTTTCCGCAATGAGAACCGGTAAGTTATCAGCATGCACTAAACTTTATGCTACTCTCAATTGTTAAATGACTGCATACCAATGTGTATCACAGAATAGGTGATGTGACCAAGTGTGTTCATACTCTAATGTTCCCTGTAGAATTGTGACCAGGCCAAATAGTGGAGGCAGAGGCAAAATTCTGACTGACCAACAAGAGCAGGCTGTGGTCGATTTGGTTCGGGCCAGAAATGATATTCGCCTTACAGAAATTCGCCAGCATATCTTGGACAATGAAGACATGTTCAACAATGTGGGATCCATAAGTTTGCCGACTATTGCACGCATACTGAAAAAGCACCAGGCAAAGCAAGGCAAGGCAAGTTTATTTATATAGCACATTTCATACACAGTGGTAATTCAAAGTGCTTTACATAGGAGGAAATAATTAAAACAGTTTAGAATAAAAAATAAAATAAAGTACAGTAAAAACAGTCGGACGAACATTGGCACAGTGCTCATTCAGTAAATGCATAGCTAAACAGATGTGTTTTGAGTCTGGCTTTGAATGTGACTACTGTAGGAGCACATCTGATCTCTTCTGGAAGCTGGTTCCAGCTGCGGCAGGCATAATAGCTAAAAGCAGACTCTCCATGCTTAGAGTGAACCCTTGGTATTTCTAACTGATGTGATCCTAATGATCTGAGTGATCTGTTGGGTTTATATTCAGTGAGCATATCTGCAATATATTGAGGTCCTAGCCCATTGAATGATTTATATACCAGTAATAATACTTTAAAATCAATCCTAAATGTAACAGGGAGCCAGTGTAAAGACCTGAGGACTGGTGTGATATGTTCACATTTTCTGGTTCTGCTCAGAATCCTGGCAGCAGCGTTCTGTATAAGCTGCAACTGTCTTATGGTCTTTTTAGGAAGGCCAGTGAGGAGTCCATTACAATAATCCACCCTGCTGGTAATGAAAGCATGCACAAGTTTCTCTAAGTCTTGACTGGAAACAAAGCATCTAATTCTTGCAATATTTTTCAAATGATAGTATGCTGATTTAGTTATTGCTTTGACATGACTACTGAAACTAAGGTCTGACTCTAGAGACACACCAAGATTCCTGACTTGATTTTTAGTTGTTAGACCCCTAGCGTCAAGGTATGCATTCACCTTGAGAACTTCATCTTTGTTTCCAAACGTAATGACTTCAGTTTTGTCTTTGTTTAACTGAAGAAAGTTTTGGCACATCCAACCGTTTACTTCATCAATGCATTGGCACAGGGAGTCAATGGGGCTGTAGTCGTTAGGCGATAGGGCTAAGTAGAGCTGTCTGTCGTCTGCATAGCTGTGGTAAGAGATTCGGTTCTTTCTCATTATTTGGCTCATTGGGAGCATATACAGGTTGAATAGGAGTGGTGCAAGAATTGAGCCTTGAGGGACTCCGCATGTCATGGGTGTCCATTCAGACTTATGGTCTCCTATACTCACATAATAACCTCTCCCTTCTAAGTATGACCTGAACCATTTTAGGACTATCCCAGAAAGCCCCACCCAGTTTTCCAGCCTGTCAAGAAGTATGTTGTGATCGACAGTGTCAAATGCAGCACTGAGGTCGAGTAGTACCAGCACTGATAATTTGCCTGTATCAGTATTTAACCCCCTGGGGTCGGCTAACGCGCCGGCGCGATTGTCTCGCTTTTTTTCTTATCAGTAGCAAAAGAGACTCAAAATACTCGGTTGATTTTGATCTTACATTTAAGTGTTATACATCATTAGATCCTGTTAAGTTTCTATTTTTTTTGTGGATACTCACAATAAAAACAAAGTGTTGTGCTTTTCACCAAATAAAGAAAAACAAACATGATGCGAGTTCTGCGTTCTCTCTGTCAGTGAAGTCCATTCTGAAACGCATCCTAAGATTAACTGTAACTCCGCGATTACTTGTCACACAGGCACGAGAGATTTTTCTTTATGAAGCTTGAATTCTCTTCTTTTAAATGAAGTAATTTATATAAAAAACAAATATTCTCAGTTTATGCAATCTGTATGAAAAGAGAGTGCTGTCAGTATTTTTTTCCCCAGCTCATTACACTTCATTACACGTTAATCTGACACGCCCACGGAGGACGCGCGCTATTCAAACGCAGATGTCGAGGCAAGCCATGACAATGCCCACATCAGTTGTTCCACCGCGGCGGTAAAATGTGTGGTGTATTTGCTGCCTTTTACCGCTAAGAGGCGCTACAATCATAGACTCTGAAAAGTGTTCGTTTATTCCGGTTTATTCTCTCTAATGCGTAATCTGCTGCCGCACCGCGCTGATTCAGAGCGATTGAAAGCTGGTAGCAGAAGAATTCAACAAGTGAAACGTAGTTAAAATAATTCATAATCACAATACTGAAATTAGGCTGCTGAAATGTAATGGAATAAATAATGAAAACATTTCAACATAAAACATTGCAATAAAAACATTTAGGCTACATCAATGAGGCTTTACAACTTTATCAGCGTACAGACGGTAGCTCAGTGATCAACGCAACAACACGAGCTTCGAGGAGCTTCAATCCACCCGAGATCGAATCTCAATGTAGCATAGGCCTACATGTTGTTAACCGATGTTGTCCTACAGCGTTTATATTTTCCCACCTTGATGCTTAAATAGGTAACTGTTTATATCTGTTTACTTATTTAAAGTCAAGAGTTTTGTTTGATTATCATTACAACATAAATTTGCTACATTCCTGTAGAACCGCAGCCGCTGCACAAACGACAAAAACTGATGAAGGAAGATTGTCAGCCGATTGCATCAGAAAATGAAAATGAAGAAAGCTCGTCTTTAGTCTGCTAAATTATTGTGTAATGTAAAAGAACACTAAAATTACTTAAGTTTGAAACCAAGTTCGAACATTTCAAGGTTTAAATTTTTTAATTTAAAACAGGGTTGCATCGGGTTTAGAGTTTATTTCTTTTGCGATGCAAAATAAGAAACACTAGGCTAATCTTATTCTTGCGACATTTTAAATATGTATTGCCAAAGAAATTACAGCTAAATTAAACAATTAAAACAGTACAAAACGAAAATTGTCCAAATAAACATAATTAAATTTAAAACATGCGTTTCTCTTTGCCTCTCTCGCGCTGGATCTCTTTTTAACAAGTTTATTTAGTCTCCTTCGCTGCGCGCGCGTCTCTCTCTCGAAATTAAACATTTCAGGGTAAAACACATCATACAGCTGATAATACTGTATATGTCGCTGCGTGTCAGCCATACAAATCACGAAAAAAATATTTAACCTTTAATTGTTGCTTCAAAGACACAGCATGCCTTGTTGAATTCACCTTACAATAACTTCAATTGAAATTTTGTGTGAAAAAAACTTTAAATAGGCTACAATAAATAAACTACAATATTTATAATTTAATAAGATATGGGGTCTACATTTGGACACAGATTTATCCTTACAATAATTTTGCCTGCTCATCAGGCTGGCTATCCGACACTCTCCATATGAAAGAGGAACATTAACACCTTTGTCCAGCAACTGTCCCTCCAACCCCCCCACAGGCTATCGGAGTCTGAGGCTGACTTAACACAAAGAGAAGTCGCAATTCACACTTAAATCGCTATTCTAGACAGTGTTGATAATGAAGGAATTAAATGATTTAAGTTACATGTAGCCTAGTGATATTTCTGTCATGAAAGTTTATTACTAAATATTTCATTATTTCAATAATTGATGAAATAAAACTGGTTTAGGCCAGCTTTTTCCAAGCAAAACTAAATATAATCTGAAAAAACGCATGTTAATTTGTTGTCATGAACAAAATGTTCAACTCAATATTAAATTATACAGGGATCTTTGGATCCTTACAAGGCATGCAATTTGTGAATTAAGTTTTAATTTTATTTTGTATTATTCAAATAAATATCGAAACACGGTGCTTCGTGGTAATGCTGCTAAATTAAATAACATTTATAGAATAATTATGAACTTAAATGAAACAATATCGCAACATTTTATTTGATCTGTTTTTACATTTGAATTCAGGGCGATTTAGCCTACATTTAATTAGAGCGAGATTTTCACCCTTGTCTTGTCATTTTCTCATTGGGAAGCGCTTACATTGCATGTTTGAGTAGATCCTCTGTACCTCTCGTTTTCATATGGATTAGCCTACACAATCAGATAACATTTATTAGCCTAAATATTTAGACATTTAAAGGCTTTAGACGTAGCCGATTTCTTATCGTGACTGAGCTGAAGTGGCTTTCGGTTCATTTTTTGTAACGCGCAGTTCCCGAAGACAGAGACTACAGATATACTGTTTTTGTCAATAGCCTATATGAATACAAGTTTACAGTTTTGAACGATAAGCTAGGCTACTCTTATCTGTATGACCAAAAAATTACGGGGGGGATTAAAATAATTCAGCAGAAGCAGGGATGTTTAGACCAGAAGGAAATCCTAGTCCCCCCTGGCAAATCACGCTTTACTTAAAACCATGTTTTTAAAAACTCTAGGTTGTAGGGAACAGACCTCTCTGCCATGCGCGCGCATGGTTTGGAGCACAATATCTGTCTCGCATGCACGCTCGCTCTAGATAGATTACGGGATATTTTAACTAATTTGCGGTATAACTAGTCGATCACGAGTGGCTCAACAGGTAGATCTATAGATAAACTATATCTTTTAGGAATTTGACCGACCGGGTTGACACTTCAGCGTGAGAAATCGGGGGTGTGGCGTGAGAGCGTGAGATTTGGGTCAATTGCGTGAGTACTCTCAAGCTCAGTGCGTGAGAGTTGGCAGCCCTGAAAAAAAAAAATATATATATATATATATTATTCATTTTTTATATATATATATACACTCACCGGCCACTTTATTAGGTACACCTGTCCAACTGCTCGTTAACACTTAATTTCTAAGCAGCCAATCACATGGCGGCAACTCAGTGCATTTAGGCATGTAGACATGGTCAAGACAATCTCCTGCAGTTCAAACCAAGCATCAGTATGGGGAAGAAAGTTGATTTGAGTGACTTTGAACGTGGCATGATTGTTGGTGCCAGAAGGGCTGATCTGAGTATTTCAGAAACTGCTAATCTACTGGGATTTTCACGCACAACCATCTCTAGGGTTTAGCGGCAGTTCTGTGGGCGGAAATGCATTGTTGATGCCAGAGGTCAGAGGAGAATGGCCAGACTGGTTCGAGCTGATAGAAGGGCAACAGTGACTGAAATAACCACTCGTTACAACCGAGGTATGCAGCAAAGCATTTGTGAAGCCACAACACGCACAACCTTGAGGCGGATGGGCTACAACAGCAGAAGACTCCACCGGGTACCACTCATCTCCACTACAAATAGGAAAAAGAGGCTACAATTTGCAAGAGCTCACCAAAATTGAACAGTTGAAGACTGGAAAAATGTTGCCTGGTCTGATGAGTCTCGATTTCTGTTGAGACATTCAGATGTTAGAGTCAGAATTTGGCGTAAACAGAATGAGAACATGGAACCATCATGCCTTGTTACCACTGTGCAGGCTGGTGGTGGTGGTGTAATGGTGTGGGGGATGTTTTCCTGGCACACTTTAGGCCCCTTAGTGCCAATTGGGCATCGTTTAAATGCCACGGCCTACCTGAGCATTGTTTCTGACCATGTCATCCCTTTATGGCCACCATGTACCCATCCTCTGATGGCTACTTCCACCATGTCACAAAGCTCTAATCATTTCAAATTGGTTTCTTGAACATGACAATGAGTTCACTGTACTAAAATGGCCTCCACAGTCACCAGATCTCAACCCAATAGAACATCTTTGGGATGTGGTGGAACGGGAGATTCGCATCATGGATGTGCAGCCGACAAATCTGCGGCAACTGTGTGATGCCATCATGTCAATATGGACCAAACTCCCTGAGGAATGCTTCCAGCACCTTGTTGAATCTATGCCACGAAGAAATGAGGCAGTTCTGAAGGCAAAAGGGGGTCCAACCCGTTACTAGCATGGGGTACCTAATAAAGTGGCCGGTGAGTGTATATATACATATATAGGCTATATATAATTATTTTTTTTACAGAACTGCTTTTGACATTACGATTGGTAGCCTATTATTATACAGATGCAAAGTCGTTCTGTTGGATACTATTTTGTTCCTTAGTGTAAAATGGAAATGCATGATAATTGTATTTTATAAATATAAGCAAAAAAAACTGTATGGTGTAACAGAGTTTTAGAGCTAGACAAATCTAAATAAATATAATATTTACAGCAGACCTTGTTTGTGCGGGATTTGAACCCGTGTCATCTTGATGTTGAACCGTAAG